CGCGATCCCGTTGCTTCTTTGGCTGGACCGCGTGACCGGGTCCCAGGTTCACCGCGGACACGCTATCCTTTTATCCAGCCCATTACTATTTGTGGGGAGTTACTCTCCTCACAGCATCAAAAAAAGGATACACTTCGGCGGTCTAGCAGGTGTGAAGTCTGCAAAGCATCTGTTCCTTTGAACGGTCGGTCCAGGAACCAGGAGGTCCGAAACGTCGACGTGGGAGTGCTCGTCGTCGTCGGCGAGGACAATCTGCCGCCCCAGCAGTGGAGGATCGGGCGCGTAGTGGCGGTGCACGTCGGCGCTGATGGGAAGGTCAGAGTGGCGGACGTCAGGACGGCAGACGGAATATTTAGGCGAGCCATCCATCGTCTGGCTCTACTGCCAACGTTGTCCTGAAGGAAGTCGTCCCTTCAGAGGGGGCGGTGTTTGCAGATTTCTCTTGTTTGAATGTAACGGGGAGCGGGGCCTTAATAAAGCTTTTTCGCTCAAGCGAATTCGGCCGCCGCTCTCCCCGCTTATTACTTTTGTCTTAGCATGTAAGAGAAATTTATATAAAATTAAAGTTAGTTTAAAATCGTACTCCCTTTCGTACGCATCGTAGTAACTTTCGTCTCGATCTTATTTCGCCTAAAAGAATAAAACCACTGCAATCACAAGTTTCGCGTATTTGCTCTCAATATAAAAGCATATTGAATTTTCAACATAGTTAGGCAATGCTAATATTTATTTAATTAGTATTATTTTTTATAAATAACTTTGTTTAATCTGCTGAATAATTTGAATTCTTTACCTTGTTCTACTTAGCTACCCCACACTGTAATCATATGTTTATATTTTGAATTCGCCTTACGCACTTTTATACATGCAGCTCACAGAGGAAACCGGGATTAATCACCGCAATAGAAATGTTTAATCCCATTATTCCTTTATTTATTTTTTAAAGTAAATCCTATACACACATACATACTTCAGTTTGTTAAAAAAAAAACTTTTTAAAACAAAGAAGTGAGAACGAAATTTGCATCTTTCCATCGATGATTCGGCCGGTTACTTGAACTGCTATACGTGATTTGAAATGCCCTACAGGCTGGTTCTTTGTCTGGCTAATCTGCCCTTCTTCAATTTTCCAAAACTTTAGCAAGTTGACGTTAAAGTTCCGAAGTGCATGAGCCCTATATCCTTTATCTTTCAATTCTGAAGCGCTACTGAAATTAGTTGCCTTGGCCAAGATGAAAAACTTTAAAGGGCCTCTCTTTCCTTGAGTTTTCGGCCTGCTCGTTTAATGTTGGTTTGATTTTGAGACGCTTGCTTGAATTGCCTGTCTTGCACGCGTAGCAATGCAACGATCAGCTTTTATCTTTTTTATCAAATATTTCTTGGTAAGTAAGCAGATCTTTTCATATTGCTAAGGCCGTGAAAAGGTAATATTTTTTAATGGGACCGTTCGTGTGAGATACCGTTTTTATTCCATTTTCCAGAGGAAGGTTATGCCAGAAAAAGATTGAAGAACCAGAGGAGGAAATCAGGTACTTAGGTTCCACTGCGTATGTCCGAAGCGAATTTAAAGCGATAACAGATGCTCTAATATTCATGTTTCGCTTTGATTAACGGGTTTGGTGCAATGCTAAATGCCGTTTGAAATGGTACTAGGTGGAAAACAAATTTGATAGTTCTACCATGAAGTAATATCTGCGAAGATGTGTTGATTTTAAGGGGATAAATGTCACGAATAAGGTATAAGAATAAAGATGCGCAACTTATAACTCGCCACAAAGGTTTTGTTGACCCGATTAGTCAAGTTGACCTTTCTTAAACAAATTAGCCAAACCAAGCGAATTTGTAGCTTTTACTAGAACTTGAACTTTATTACAGAACCGATGACCTGTCACGGTCGCCAAAATGTACTCTCCTAAGCGAATCTACTGTGAAACCAATAACGCGTTTTAGTCGTTTGCAAATAGGTAATGCAAGTATATTGCTAGAATAAATAATTCAAGTACAGAAATGTTGATTGTGTACATTTTTGAAATGCATGAAAATATAATATACTAGAGGGCCTGTGTCCGCTTCGCTGGTCAACACAATTTAACAAAATAATATTCAATGTTGCAACATTTTTCAAATATATGGAAGTATAGAAAGATGGTGATTTAACACTTTTCCAGTTTGACTTTTTCACTTGCGCAGCACAATCCAGCCGTTTCTCTTTTAAACTTTAACGCACTGCAATATCGGTATATAGTCGCCATTGCACTATGGTTCAAAAGTCGGATTTTTTGGCATAAAGTCGAAATTTTTATGTTAATGTTTTGTATTTTTGGTTTTAAATTCTTAAAGTTAATACATCATACTTCTAAAAACTTAAATAATAAATCTTTAAAAGCTTCACTGAAGCTTTGTATGAGCTTTCAAAAGAATGCCATCGATCAGCTGTTTAGGATTAGGAAATTGGCGCCAAATTCTTTTGATTACGTTTGTGCGTGCAATTAAAAATTACACTGTGCGACAAAATTTAACAAAATCTTTGTTTAAGTTACTTTTTTGATTGTTTTCGGTTAAGGTGCATAAGTTATGCACAAAAATATTTATGCCACCTTCTAAGTGATAGGATTTCTTTTTTTATGATAAATTTTATGAAATTATTATTATGAAAATATTTAACACAAAATATTATTTTTTTTTACTTCCAATAAACTATTATTTTTTTTAAAAGTGAAATTTTTTTCAGATTTTTTGGTCTTTTTTAGAGGTATCCTCGCGTAACAAGTTCCATACGTAGTCGCCCAGAGTATAGAGCTGGGAGAAAAAAATTGTAAAGCATTGTGATAAAAGCCTAACGGTATATTTGGTTAATACATTTTAATTAATAGATATTGAACTTGCATTAACGCTTATAACGGTGAAAAAATATTTTCCCAATATGTGATTATAAGGCTGTGAAATATGCAAAAACACGCGTTTTTGGGACATTTGAGTGTGCGTAGAAGCTGATTGGCTATTGATATTAACAAATCCACAAACTTGTATTCTTATTTTGATTAGTAGAAGTGAAAAATAAGAAAAAATCAACTTAAACTTTTTTTTGTCGCACAGTGTTATCTGTCCAAACAAACTCAAGTTAATAATGGAAATTGAAGATCAAGGTGTGTAGTATTCACTGTATATTTATGTTTAGTTTTAGTATTTGAGCTGAGTTTAATGTCCAATTTATGTGTATTTTTGTAGAAAATTAACATGCGTCCCCTGTGTTTCGTGGATAAAAAAAAAACGACCCCATGTCTGCCGACAAAAACTAACAACGTCAGTTTGTTCCCATAAATGTCGTTTTTCAAAGCTAATTAACACATTTTCCCCGTTCGTCCCCCTTTTCTTACAAATCCACAATATTCAGGGACGTTCGAGTTTAGCCATAGCGATCTTTTCGATATTTGGCGCAGCAACAATCGCAAAATACCAATTGTAAAAAAGTATGACTTATACAGTAGAATCCTGTTATAACGACTCCGCTTATAGTGTCTGTCCGGGTATTGCGACGAAAACTCGATGGTTTGATTGGTCCCCAGATAGACTTATACACTTATATCCTTTTGCTTAGTGCGTCTTCCGGGTATAACGACGAAAACTCGTCGGTCCTTGAAAGTCGCTATAAGCGGACTCTATTGTATATGCATAAATACCTGTGGTACCCAATGTCACCAACAATTCACAAGGTAGGGTGCTTAGGCGAAAATGCTTCAGAGGCACGGAATAAAATCTACAAAAGGGACAGACTCTTACACGCAAGGAAAAATAGTCGAATCAATACTATGACTGACCTTTTCCACAGGGCGATATATTCCTCGGATCCTTTACTATCTAGCATTTGTTTAAATAAAAGAGAAGGGAAAAACATAAAAATACCTCTTCCTACAGAAGTATTGAGGGGTTATATACCTTTTTCTCCAGAGAAATACAGGGTTTTTATTTATTTTTTTTTACCATGTTACCATTGTTTTATTGAAATACAATACAAATTTTATCAACGTACGTGTCCTTAAGTAAATTCGTATAAAATTTCGAGTGAAAATTTTCATAATTTTGGAAGTTACAGCCCTTGCCGCAGAAGTCCTTTTTTCAGTAGTGGCTCACGGTGAGCATGAAAACAAGGAAACGGCTCAACAGAGAAAACAAAAAAAATTTTTTACAGTTACAGTGATTATTTTTTCAAAAAAACCGATATTTCGAGGTCTAATAATTTAGTTTTTTGCCCAAAAAAAATAGAAAAATTTGTCGAAAATAAAATTCCTTCGTTCACGAACTAGCTATTGTATCTACAAACAATCCCCCAAAATTTCAAATCGATCGATGTAGTGGTTACCGAGATATCGTGCTCACCGCAATGACCTCTTCTCAAAAATGTGATTCCGAGATAATCGCGTTTAAAGTTTTAGGTGGACATTATGTAGTCATGTACACCGTGCGCTATGAACGGCTGTATCTTAGGTTCTAGTGCCCCGATCTCTAAAAAATTTTGCTGATAAATTGTTGAAAGTATGTACATCAAAAAAAATTATAAAATTTTTTTTCGATTTTTTGAGCTTGAAAAAGGTATATAACCCCTTAAGTATTCTGGAGTTGCCGTCTGCCGAAAACAAAAACCCAAATGAAAAAGAATTGGATGTGCAATCTGATTATGATTCTGATGAGGACCTAAACGAAGAATACTCTATAGAACTAGAAGAAGAAGAAGCAAAAGAAGAAGACTATGTTTAAAACAAAAACCAATTTATTTATTAATGTGTGTGTGGGGGTAATTTCCTAATTTCCTAACAAACAAACAAATTTTACCTCTTTATAATATTAGTATAGATATATACAAAAAAATTATTTAATAATAAAAGGTCTGACCATCATTAATTATTATTATCAACATCATGTAGTGTGAATACGCTATAATTCGACTTCAGTTTTTTGTTACCCATACCAAAATGACCAATATGCAGTTTATAAATATTTATACTCCAAGCTAGACCTGCTTAGCATTTGCAAATCGCACTTCGATACCTACCACATTCTATATTGTGATGAATTATTGTTTAAGAGTTGACACGCAATACGTGCAGACAGCTTGAGTCGCGGGGTAATACCGTTTTCATGAAAATGTTTACTTCTATGCATACATTTTTAAGCATGAGACGCTGGATGATCCTTTAAAGCCGATAAGAGGAACTCTCGGAGGTGCATACATTTATTTGATTGGTATAATTGATATTTTCATAAGAGACCTAATAAGTCTTATAGATCAACTTAATCTATATAAATGCATTATTTTAGAACTAATGTTTGACACCCGGGCCGAGCCCTACCCATGCCAGACAAACTATACGTACAAACATGATGTGTGGGAGATTTTAACAACGGGCGCCAAGATTTAAGGTCATATTTTTGTTAGTTGACCCAAAATAAACACCTTGAAGAATAACATTCTCGATAACCCGCACCGTTTAAGAGGCATTCTTATACACATATCAGATTTTAGCGCGCGCGGTATACGCTCACTCGCAAATCTCTGTTTACAACCTAATAAATAATAACATCAAAAACTAATTGTTCGGCCATTTATGGATATGTACATATATTCAACCCCTTCCTTTTTTTTAAATGTAAATGCAATTTATTGTCTTCATTGACGTATTTTTTTTACAATCATTCAAAAGTGGTATCAATTTACATATTTTTAATTTTCAACTGCGTACACCGGTTTTATTTATAACTCGTAGGGTATTCTTTTCTCTTCAAAACTTCCGTAAGGCGCCTCGGCATGGAATTAACGACTCATTTTGTCTCTGCAGTAATTTCCACCCATTTCTCCGCATTCACACTTTGACCCTTTTTTTTATGTAATTGTTAGTTTTCGGCTTTTCCTCTTAAGAAGGCCCCACAAATTATCAATTAGGTTATGATCAGGACTCTGGGGAGGTACAGCAGCCAATATTCACTTCCCAGCCTTTATTTTTACCTGTAAAGATATTTATTTTCGATGATTGACTTGATAAATTATAATTTTCACGCGCTGCTTGCTGCCATACACACTCACGCTATTATTCCCCTTCCTGCGTGTTTTACAGTGCCAACTAAGATTTCTTTATTCAAGGCTTCTCCGCTTTTCCCCCAAACCTTGATTCCGAATACGCAGAATTAACTTTCGTCGGAAAATAATATCTTATTCCAGAAGCCTTGGTGTTAGAAATGTAGTCGCTAGGAAACGTTAGGCGCTTTTGTATATTGACTTCCGGGCGATTCTACGATTTTCCATCCAAAAAATGTTTTAATACAATTTTCAACTCTTCAACCGAAATTTCCTTGCTTTTTTGATTCATGTTGCAATTCTCCTTGTTGTAATGTAAGAATTTAACTTCAACTATAAAAATATAAATACAGTAGAACGTTATAACGACTCCGCTTATAGTGTCCGTCCGGGTTGTGCGACGAAAACTCGATGTTTTGGTTGGTCCCCATACAAACTTATATGAAAGGGCCTCCGCTTAGTGCGTTTCCGCTTTTAGCGACAAACCGCTTATAGGAACCAAATTTTACACAAAAAATTAAAAAATTCAACCGGATATTGCGTCGTGACCAAAAAATACAGTGCAATACTGCCAAATTTAAGCTTAATAACACGCTGTTAGAAATGTATGTATTTATCAGTGATCGGCACCCTTGGCCGTCTGCGTAGCAGCGACACGAAGGATCTTAAACTGTCAACTGTCTCTGTTAGTTTTTGCTGTCGCTTTAACAACGGTGCTGCGAGAGAGAGAGAGAGAGTCGAAGTGCAATGCCGATGCACACTGCGTGTGCAGACCTTATAGCTTATTCCATGAGATGTCCCGTTATATTTCTAGTTTTTCTGCTTTTTATACCCTTGCAGAGCAAAAGGGTATTATAATTTCAGTCAGAAGTTTGCAACGCAGTGAAGGAGACACCTCAGACCCCATAAAGTATATATATTCTTGATCAGCATCACGAGTAGAATCAGAAAACGTCTGTACGTCTGTCCGTCTGGTCGTCTGTCCGTCTGTCTGCTTCTCTTCAAACTAGTCTCTCAGTTTTAAAGCTATCTTGCTGAAACTTTCCCAAAATGTGTGTAGTTATTGCACGCAGTATATAAGTCGGAACGAGCCGGATCGGCCGACTCTATCGGATAGCTCCAATACGAGAGAATGAAATAAAAAATTCTCAGGCCGTTGTTTTTGATCAGATCGACTTGAATTCTTCAAGATGGCGTTTTCTAACTACTATTGAATTTCGGATTTATCAAAATCGGATAACTCTATCGTATAGCTGCCATAGGAGAGATCAAAAAATATATATAGAATTAATGGAAATAAATTGATATCATCGTTGTTTTTTATCCCACGAGCATGATTTTTTGAATATCGAGTTTTTTAACAACTCTTATATTGAGAAAAAGTTTCATAAAAATCGAACAACTATATCTTATATGTTATAGGAAAGATCGAAAAGTCTATATAGAAATAACGGAAGTAAAATTATATCATCGTGGTTTTTCATCAGATAAGTATGATTTTTGAAATATAGAGTTTTCTTACGACTCTTAAGGGGTTATCCTACCCCTGACCTTTTAAAAAATTCTTTTTTTTCAAAAATTTTTATATAATAGTAAAAAGTGTAAGGAATGTTGTCCGAAAATTTCAAGTCGATCGGAGGAAAACTGTAGGAATGGGGGAAATTTAAAGCGCCGTTTTTCCAGAGTGTTTCAAAGGGTTTGAAACTTTGAACGCGTTTTTTCCGAAACGACTTTTTCAAAGTCGGTAGTCAAATTTTCTCGAAAACTATTGCACCGATCGACTTCTCCTTTTGCACACTTCTTTTAGACATGTTTTTCTCGTATTTGAACGAAGGATTTTTTTTTTGGTCAAATAGAACTTATTTTATAGGACGAAATATGGTCAAAATGTATGCAAAAAACGTCATTTTTTATAAAAAACGTTGTAAAAAATTCAATTTTTAATTTAAAAAAAATCCTTTGTTCAAACACGAGTCAGACACATACACTTAAAGAAAAATTTTGGATTTTTGATTTCAGATGAAAATTGGCGGAGAAAATTTGACTACCGCCAGGGCACTATTTTTGATGGGGTCAACTTTCAGGCATTCTCACTCGCTCAATTTTTAATATTTTCTTTTCAAAATTTTACAGATTATAGTTGAAGCATTATATATTCATATTCAATAAACAAAAATTGTAAGAATATCCCAGGAGCTTTGAAAAAAATTCACGAAAATAGGCGTTTTTTTGGGCCTCCAGGGAAGGATAACCCCTTAAATTACGAATTAAATTTGATCAAAATCGGACAACTATATCATATAGCTCCCATATAGTCGGTAAGATGGGAAATGAATAGAAAAATCGTTATAGCTTCGATGTTGTTTAGCCTTTATGCATTTTGTTCGACATATTTAATGACTGCAAGGGTATATAAGCTTCGGCTTGCCGAAGCTAGCTTCCTTTCTTGTTTCCAAGTAAAACTGAATGTGTAAATTCGCCAAATGCAATATGTGCGGTAATAAGCTCATTCAGTTTTCAGTATTATGAGAAACCTATGTATGTGTTTAAATCAAATATATTAAATTTTAAGTTTTAATTAAAAAATTAATTTGATTTGTTTTAAAAACCTATTACGAGGATGGCAACTATAAATGAGCAAACAAAAAAATTTTTTTTGTTCTTTTGCTTAGTGCGTCTTCCGGGTATAACGAAGAAAAATCGTCGGTCCCTTGAAAGTCCCTATAACTGGATTCTACTGTATATCGATATTTTTGTCCATGTTTAGAGTACACAATAGGATTGCCGGGAGCCTAAAATTCATAGGCATCGCTCTCTAGGTTGTAGCAATGTTGACAATATCCGAGTCACGACTGTTAGAGTCAAATAATAGACAGGTAGAAAATAATACGGAAACACAAAATAAATAAACAAGCTTACAGATAAAAATAATAAAATAATCAAGGCAAAAATAAACCAATTTGTTGGCTTTTTACACTTGTACGAAGACCTTTTGGCTAGAAATAGAATAGGTACTTATAACAGAAATTCAAAATGTAGTAGCCAAGGTTACACTTGCCAAATCTAACATTATAAACCCAGCCATTTTTAATCACCAAGATTTGAAGTTTGTATTAATTGAACTCCCCCAGAGGTTACTATAATAAGCCTAAGAGAGGCATCATATTAAAGTCCTTCAGCCCTTCAATTGCATACCCTAAAATACAATGCAACAATGATTACCTAGCGGCGACTGAATGCTTATTAGCAACATACGCATCATTCTGCAAACTGGCATCTCACGATACTTGTGCCCAAGGCCTACTTGCGGAAGGCGCAGCACAATGCGAAACGCAAGGCAGATCTATCATCTCAGCTCTGGATCCACATTTAACTTTAACTTTGCATTTGGGCCTGATCTTGGCCAAAGATTCGTGCGAGTTGTCATCAAACCGTTATAAACCCTTTGAAGACGCTTGGAATAAAAAAGAAGCTCGATGTATGGGTGCCACACGACTTGACACGTGCATGCGAATCGCTTCTGAATAGCAACAAAATCGACCCGTTTTTGAAGCGGATGAAGCGACAACTTGAAGCGCAAACGGTCGTGGTCGAAAAGCGGTGAAGCTGCCCAGACGGTGGCCAAGCCTGGATTGACGGCCAGGAAAGTTCTTCTGTGTGTTTGGTGGGATTGGCAGGGAATAATCCACTATGAGCTGCTCCCCTATGGCCAAACGCTCAATTCGGACCTGCTTGAAGACAGCACTCATGCAGAAGAGGCCATCTTTGATCAACAGAGGCCGAATTGTCTTCCACCAGGACAATGCCAGGCCACACACATTTTAGTGACGCTCCAGAGCTCCGGGAGCTCGGATGGGAGGTTCTTTTGCATACACCGTATAGTCCGGATCTCGCACCAAGTGATTACCACCTGTTTCTGTCCATGGCAAACGCGCTTGGTAGTCTGAAGTTGGCCACAAGAGATCCCTGTGAAAATTGGCTCTCCGAGTTTTTTGCCAATAGGGAAGCGAGCTTCTGAGAGGGGCATTATGAAGTTGGCATCTCGTTGGGAACGCGTCATCGAACAAAACGGGGCATATTTGACTTGAATCGCATTATTGTAACCAATTTTATGAACAATTGAAAATTCAATAAAAATACCGCAAGACTTTTTTGACAACCTAATATTCTTGATCAGCATTACGATCTGAATCGAAATACGTCTGTCCTTCTGTCCGTTTCTGCCCAAACTAGTCTCTCAGTTTTAAAGCTATCTTGCTGAAACTTTCCGAAAAGGTGTGTAGTTATTGCACGCAGTATATAAGTCGGAACGGGCCGGATCGGCCGACTATATCGGATACCTCCCATA